ACCTGCCCCATTTCTCAGTGTGAGTCAAAAGCAACTGACTGGTGAAGTTCATGACTGCAGGGCAGTTCTGATGACTGCAGCGGGACCAAGGCTTATGTCAAACTGGGCTTTTTAGAATGAATCCAAGGGCTCTGGTGGCAAAGATATTTACCAAATGATATAGTGACTCATCACTTCACCCCATCATTTCCTTTTTCCATTTGCCTAAATCAGGAGAGATGATGACAGTTTTCTTCCCAATGGAGGCTCCAGGCTCACTGCATTCCACTCACCCTTATGTCCCCTAATTTACAAATGTAACTAATTTTCAGAAACGCAATTGCTTTACTGGCTTTATAGCAAAACTAAAGAAAGAAATCCAACAGCATGTTCAGTTCAAGCATTCACAAACGGTTTTATGCTGTCCATCAGTCTCAATCTTTGTCAGATATAGCATGACCTGGTCTCTGAATGGAAAGAGTTTCCAAATGTTCAGTGTCATTATCTCTGTCTTAATTTGCTGATCTGTATCTGCTGTAGGAGAAAATTGTAAAAAATGGTGTTTTTTCCAAAAAAAAAAAAAAAAAGAAATCCATGTTACAGTTCCATCACAAGAAGCAAGAGCTTTGGATTATTTTTAGGCTCTAAAACAGCTGAAATGGTATGAAGTGTCAACGTACACAACCCTTTTAAGTTACACAGGAAGTTGCAGGAAGTTTCAAAACATCAAAACAGACAAATTATTCATATGAGTTCTGATCTGCCCTCCTGCAATCTGACCTTCAATTCAAAGTGGGAATTTAGCATTCCAAGTTAAATCTGAAAGTATTTCTGCCAATCAAAGGTTTACGGTCCAAAGTCTGCTTAAGCTCAGCCTTTGCAAAGCAGGTAGAGAAACAACACTGTATAAACCAACTCTAAATGCACACAGCCGCATCAGACAAGCTGAATGAAAATTCACAAAACTCAGCTGGACTCAGCCCTATGTAGTTCCAATTCAAAACAGAAAGCATTTCCAGAAAAAAAAAAAGTATTTTCATACCAAATATTTACTACTTCACATAAACCTCTTATGTCTAGTGGAGGGCATAAAGATCACGCTGTGCTGGGTCTCCACCGTTGCAAGTGCCTTGATCCCTCCAGCAGCAGCCAGTCACCCTTGCCTGGTGGAAGAAGAAACCTTGGGAAAAGGTAGGTTGGGCCAGTGAGAGCCTCACACCAGCAACAGGAACTAAATCTGCCTTGCCATAGCTCTGACCTGCACCAGGTTCAAAACTGAAAGGTGCCAGTGACTTCCTGGGGCTCTTGTATCCCATTTATTTTCACATCTTATCAGAGGCAATAAAATATAAAAAAAGCCCCACAAACTCAGACTCAATCTACTTCTTTACTGACAAAGGGAAGTGGAAGACAGGGAAAATGCAACAGTCCTAAAATTTCAGTCTAGGAGCCTCAGTTCTGCTCTTGACCAATGGTTCTAGAAATCTAAATGGGTCATGGATATAATAAAAATCTGGGGAAATATTTGACTGACGTGTTGTAATAAATAAATGAATATTTTAATAGAATTTGAGACCACCAGTAGTTTTGTTTTCAGATTGGTTTTTAATATTTAAAGACCTGCCTCTGTATAAGTAAGACTGTGACTGCATAATACAGTGTCCTGATGAGCAACTCTGCCCACATTGCTAGCCTCACTGACTGCAAAGTCTGTTGAGATGTCTATGATAATTTCTGTACGGGTACCACACCATTGTGAATACTGGCAGCATTGTGCCTAAATATTGCAGACTTGATCTAATATAAAACAATCTGGACACTGATGAGCAAGTGATCAAGCTTAACAAGGCCGGGTGAGGGAACATTCAAAGTAAGTAATTAAGTATTAAAGAATACTGAAATTATTAGAAAGTATCTTCTTAAAAAAAAAAAATCTATGTATGTGGTAAAGTTAAAAGAACTTATATGATTATACACGTTTTCTCTAAAATATCCACTTAAGTTTCTGATATTCAACATATACACAACAGCAGTACACACACAATTGACTCTTCACAGAATGAAAGAAGTGTATGGATAACAAATAACTGACATATATTCAAGAACTCTGCTTCCAGTTCTCCATTAATTTGTCATTTTGATCCACAGCAGTTTCAAATCATCTAGTACTGAAAATGTAAACTTGACTGTATTTGGTCAAGCAAGTTTCATGCTATGCATTTATTTATTTGAAATACACTCTAGGGGTGTAGAGAGAAGTATGATCCTGAGAAGAATCTTCTGGCCCACTGCCCATTACATTGGCTGCTGGACAATATTTACTGTGCTACTCCCTGCACCAAATCTTATATACAGAAACAGTAAAGCCACCTGAAAGTCAAACATGTATTGCTACATTATTCTTTATCTGAACTGTATTTCTGCCGGTACCTCTGTTTCACCATAGGTATAAGTCTTGTATCATTGTGCTCACTTCAAAATTTCACCTTTTTTTCTTTACAATACTCTTTCAGCACATTATTTCCCAAATTAAGTTTTTAAGACTTAAAGCACTCTCTGCCTTAGTTCTTCACAGTAAAAAGATCTTTTTAAAAGAGTCCACTTGTTATTACTTTTCCCAATTTCTTTAAAGTAAACATACATTATTTTGAAAGTAATTAAACCTGACTCTTGAGCTATTTGGAGTTAAATTTTGGTGTTTCCACTAATTCTGTTGAGGGGGCTCTAATTCCTGATTCTAGGGCATTACTGAAGGTGCCTAGCCTTTTATATGAAGCTTACAATCTTTAATTCAAAAGGAGTTAGCTGAATTTAGCTTTTTTTTTTTTTTAACATCAGAAAAACACAAGGCTGGGTTGCAAGCTGATTCTTAAACATTTTGGAGCATGGCAGGGTCATGTGCGCAGACTTCAAGACTAAGATTCCCAGCTAAATTAGCACATTTTCTTGTTTCAAATTCGCTCAGTCCCAAGCTATTAAAAATTAACACATTGTATGTAAATATACTATATATAGGAAATGAACTTCAGTTTAGGAGAGATCTAATCACTAAGGCTTGGAGCACCGTCTCATTCCAAGGAAGCAGAAAAGTCTACATTAAGCAGAGCCCCCGAAATCTGCAGCAGAATTTCCCAGAGAAACTCCCAGCAGCTGAAACCCCTATATATGTCTGTTACAAATACAGTTGCGGGGCAGGCTCAGAAACTGCAAGATTAGCAACAGGACTTCCCAGCACAGGGCTGTGGCCAGCTCACAGCGTTGAGCTGTGAACAAGAGCATCAGGCAAGCACGACTACAGAGACCAAGCAAGCTACAAAGAACTACTTTACGTTTAAAACAATAAATGCATCAAAGCCTGGGGTGCCGGTTACTTCACCACAGCAGGCACATGTAAAGAATGATATTTTCTTTCCACACTCTGCCTCTTAAAATGACCTGTCAGCACTGAGGCATCTATCCAAAGAGCCATGTTTATTCTGCAGTTACATATCATGGAGACAACCACCTCCACAGGTGGTTGTGTGTAACATCAGTGTTACCTGATCAGCACATATTAATAGCCATTACAAGGAATGATCAAAGAAGTAATCATGTTTTCTTTCAAAAGCACATACTCCGTTTTCAAAATTCGTCTAATGAGAAACCATGCAACTAATGACTAGAGGCTGAAGAGTCTAAGGACTTAAGAAATAGGGACAGTTTAACCTCAAATGTCTCTACACCCCCACCTGTCCCCACCTTCCTTCTAACAATGTACACCTGGGCATTATACACTTACAAGCAGCTCTTGAGCACTTTACTCTCTATTAAGCCCCCACCAACCTAGAAATACGTCTGCCAGGTTTCCACATACAATTTGCTATATTTCCATTCTTATCTGTGTTGATTACCTGCACAGCTGAATATAAACTTGTAATAGGCACAGTGCGATGGAAGCTGACAAACTTATACCCCAGCTTTGCAAGGGATGCTGCAAACACCTCTGTGGAGGCAGAGGGTGATGATACTATTCAGGACTAGGGCGTCACTGTCAGAATTAGGATCACATACTACAACTTTTATTTCCTACAGCCAGGAACACTGATAATTTAAGAAGTTTTAGATGTTGAAGCACTATAAGCTATTCCAGAGTTTTGAGAAGGGAAAGACCAATGTAACCCCTATCCTGAGATGGATTTGGCTTGTTGATATGCAAGCCCCAAATATCTGAATGACCGTAGGTAAAGGAGATAAATCACTTGGAGAAAGGGTGGTTTGTCTTTGTTTTAACCCTAAAGTTTTTCCACTTAAAAAAAGAGGAGACTCTTTCTTCTATTAACAGAAGAGTTGCAGATCAAATTTTGAGTTCTGCCCATCATACTGTGGCATATGTAGGTTAGAAAGCAATTCATGTTTAAATAAAGCAAATATCTTCCTTTGCTTATGTAAGCACAATTTTTTCTACTGCATGCCGTGCTTCCAAAAAACATGAAATCTCTGTTTCTCTTTATCATCATTCCGTTGTTCATTTTTAAATACCTGCTCTCACATTTAATGCTGCAGGTAAACCTCCATGATAAATTATATATTTTTTCGCTGTTAGCAATAGATTTATCATAGGAATATACTGTTTATTTGGAATTCGTACTGTTGGATTAACCAGTAAGTTTCTCAGTTGTGACTTTGATGAACCACAGAGGGAGACACATCCACCAACTTCTTCAAAACCTAAAATAAATGTTACCCTGCTCATTCTCCATTTAAGTCCTTACAGTTGTGAATTATAAGCATACTTTCCAACCTGTGAGATGTACCTCACAGTAAGTTACTGGTCTCTGTGGTGCCCGAGACAAAGCACATGAAATTACAAAGTGTGTAAGCTAAATACTATGAAGTAGAAACAATTCTTAATTGACTGAAATGAGCCATGCACTGAAAAAGCTGACCAGCAGGTGCTATACACATAAACGTACAGTCAGAGAAGTCTATGAAACAAAAATATCTCAAAAACACGGGACACGCCTTCCGAGAACAGTACTGACCTTGTTGCTCACTCTCTGCTTCAACTTTTGCAGGACTTGGTGCTACAGGAAGGGGTCGAGGAGGACGAGGCTTTGGAGTTGGGGGAGATATTTTTTTTCTTCCAATGTACTCTACATAAGTTCCTGGGAAATCCCCCCTCTCCCCAGTGGTTTCATTAAAGCCATTTAACCAGCCAATTTCCTCTGGCTTTGCTTCTTCCCCTTCACTGAATCCAAGTGCTAGTAAGGTACCTTTATTCACAGTTAATATATCTCCTAAGTGCAAGTCAATGTCTTCTTCTCGCTCTTTTTTGTAGTCATACAAAGCTCTGTACTGATATCCTTCGGCACTCATCTTGGCAAATGATTTAACATTCAAAAGTGTTATTAAACAGCATCAAAATTCAATTGTCCAGTTATATTTTTACATACAGAGTGATTCAAGATGTATTAAATGGGATCACAAAAATGGCAATAGCAATGTCTAAGTAATAAAATCCACCAGAGAATCAAGAAGCACCAAGAACTGTCATTTCACTGCTGATGTTTTTACTGATGTTTTTGTTCTCAGTCAATGATTGTTGCAGAAGTATGTGTTCCACTTCTACGTCTAGCAATACTCTTCCAATTAGTTCCTTTTCTGCGCTTGCTGGCACTGCTGGGTCTCCATACTCAAGTGCGGCTGATTCTTGTAGCCGGTCACACCTTCTTCAGATGTACTTGCTACAGACTGCCCATGTACCTCACATACGCTGCCGTCAAACTCTGCACACATGCTCTTCCTGGAAAGAGAAGAGAAAACTGGTGAAATCGTTTCAAATTCTCTTGATGATTGTGAAGTTGGGGTTCCACTTAAGACTTAAGCTTCCTTGGTCCCTGGCAGAGGTTGTGTCCCACAAAAGAGCCCTAAATAACAATATAGAGACCTCACAAAAATATCTGCCAGTTAACGCTTGGTTTTTTATATGGCATGTATGTCTAATTACTTGTAAGAAATTTGCACCTCTGCAGTATGAGGCATGTTTCCTTCTCCGTGCCTTACGGCTACTGAAGTCTCAGAGTGAGAGGGCCAAGCCCTGAAGCTATACCTTTAGTGTAATATCTAACCTGGCAGCAAGATTTTACATGTTATCTCCCTGAAGATACACCGCCACAACCCTTCCCCACAAGAGGTCTGCCAGGACAGAGGTGGAGCTCACTATAATTAACACTGATGCTCACCACCGGGGTATTCAGTCTCCTGCTGTTTATGCAGAAGGTGAGGATGGGCAACAGTCCCCAGCCAAAAGCCCATATTCCAAAAACCTATTGGAGGGAGGGGTCTTTTCATAATCTGCAGAAGAACCAAAAAGTCCAACATGCTTTTGCTTGATGAATACCATACTTCTGATTTCTTAAAAAGAGGGTCTTCCCGACTCCCCCATCTTCCAGACGTTTTTTAATGTGGTTATGGTATAATACTAGAAGAACAACCAGCAACTGAAACAGGCACGCCCAGACCACCTAAGCAGCACTAGCAGGAGGAAAATATCAGGGAGTATGCTTAAATTACGCTACAGGCAAGAGAATACAGGGCCTGAACATTTGACTCAAGGTTGCCCAACCACAAAGTAAAAAGGGAAAACATGACTAAAAAAAAAATCAATTTAGAAAAAAAGTACCTTAAAGACATATAGAACAGTGAAAGTTTTCTAAATATTATTTCAACTGTTACTCATTTTCATCTACTTAAAAAGACAAGCCAAATCATATTTTGAAATGCTACACTGGCAACCAGAAAGTGCTAACTACTCAAAGTTGCACTGAACTCCTGAACTATAGCTGAATAAAAGACCCAAGGGGGCTACGTAATACCAGTAGGTAAAATACTGACTGTGTACTATGTACTTAGTGTACAGAAAGCTGATTTTTTTGAGACACACTCCCTTTTACATTGCAAAGAGACACCAGGAGACAGGAGTGGAACAGGGAACCTCTGACAGCTCTTTTCCACACCATTTTCTCTAATGTCCCAGTCATTAAGTCCCTAGAACATGGCTTAACTGACAAGCCGAAGTGTGTTTGTAAGAATGTGTATGGGTTTCCCTTGCCAGCGAATGACCCTGATCTCTAATTTGTACACGGCTCCTCTTCAGTCCATCAGGTCTAAATATAATTCCCTGCAGCTTATTGTGCAACATCTTTCTTAACAGAACACAGAAGAAAATCTTGTAAGTTCTCGAAGAACTTCCTTATCATCCCTTGCAACCAGTTTTTGCTGTAGGAAAGAATTATCTGAGCCTGAGTTAGACTTCTTGTTTCAAAAAGCCTACACGCAAGTATCTATTTTAACAACTTGCAAATCTATCCACGTGGATTAGGCATCCAGCTCCCACCAAAATTTTAATAAGAAATTTCTGCAGCCACTTCAGAAAAACCAAACTATGCTGCTTTAGCTCACACCACCAAACAGCACAGACTTTGCAATTAATGTGAAGAGAGTTTCACTGATTCTTCATTTTGCCTCTTCTGCCAGAGGAAAGCATACAGACAAGAGCTAGAGGAAAAAAAGGAAACAAAAATCCAAAGCATAAGTATCAATTAAATTGTACAGAAGCCTCTACAAAAGTGGGTTCCTCCCATTTCATATAGCAAGGGAACAAAATGCACTTACACACCTTAAATCTAAGTGTTGAAGCTAATCTAAATGTTTCCAATCAAAACCAACTATGCACAGCAAAACCTGCTAGCAAATTACCACTTTGACTCTAAGCATTCCGAAATATTTATTTTCTTTTTAAGAAAGGTTCAACAATTGCTCTGCTGCAACTACTCATTTCACTCCTACTGCCTACAGGTATTCTGGCAGTCCACAAAGTAGGTCTTCTGAACACGGCATAATTTAACTGACTTGACCTACTCCTCTGAGCTTTTATTATCAAATGTATCGTAGCAACTTTATGGCCAGACATTTAAAATGAGTACCTGTATCTCCTACACATGGTACAACAATACAGAACTGGAAGTGTTGTAATAGCATAAAAACTGCTTATGACAGTTTTTAAGCATATTTTATAAACTCAAAACCTGAATCAGATAGGACAGAAGTCCAATTTACTTACATGTTAGAACAACTCAGTGCAGTTATGGTAGCAAAGTTTCCCTAAATTCAGTTTCCCTGGGGCTGAGAGCTGCAGTAACTCCTCAGCACCGCCCTTGGTACAGGGCCCCCAGCATCGCATCTCCAGACTCATTTATGGTTCTTATACCTGGAGACACTCTCATGGCTGAGCCATGCTGAATTTCTTGGATTTATGCCTTTTTCTGTTCTCACTGTCTGTCGTGTTTCAGGATGGAGCAAGACTCAGACTCCAAGAACCTTGCAGACAGCCCGAATGTGGGGACAGGCATCGGTTCTCCATACCAGGCCAGTAACACTGCAGTGTCTCCAAAGACTGCTCTGTTAAGACTGCGTATAAACAAATTCCCTTTACTCCAAGTGAAGTTAATGTGCTATCTGCACTCCGACATTTCAACTCAAACTGACTTAAGCTGATCAGTCTTAAAATAAATAGCTCGGAGACCATCTTAGATAGAGCGGGGGAAAAAAACCCAAATGCTTTAGGCAAGAAACATTGTTATATTTGAGATGATGTATTACTGGATTTCCATTTGGCCGGTGGAATGGAAAAGGAGGAAGAAGTATTGTAAGAAAATCAAACACGCATTTGTTTTTTATTTACTAAGAGGTTGATCCCAACAAAAGATTCCCGAGTTGAGGCAGAATTCTGGTCTCTCAGCAGAATGGTTTATGTTGGGCATTTCAACAGTTCTAAAAATTAAAATTAAACAGAAAGATGCGAGAGATTCTTGTAAATTGAAGTGGAAAAGGAACGGGACATGAAAAGTTCCCCTCCACTCCCTCTTCCCCCCTCCCTCCCTCTCAAAAATGGTGTCTGGCTCCCACTCCAATGGTACCCAAGCATTTCCTCCCACACTAGCTAGCATTCCTTTTGTGACTGAAAATAAAAACTTCTACCCTGCAAATCCATGTTACTATCACCCTGACCAGACGGGTGCGTGTGTTACTGATACGGCACGCCACACAAGACAGCAAAGATCTTCTTCACCTTTATATCAACACATTTAATAACCATATCTCCTCATACTGTCACCTCTCATACCTATTCCAAAAACCTCAGGGGAAACAGTGCCTAACACGAACATCCCTCCCACCGCAATTATGAGCTTCATCAACAGAAGGGCACACTGATGTACTCGGGGAAGGACTGAAATAACGACAGCTGAGGTGCAAGCCTGGAACCCACCTGGAGCCTGGCTCCCCTCCCCACCAGGTGCCTGCACACACCTGGGACCCAAACTGCAGCTGCCCCTGCAGTAGGAAGCTGCTGCTCTCCAAAGGGAGACGACCAAGGTAAGCACCACACCGCAATACTCCTTTCTGCAAGGAACCGAGGTCCGTGACGTATTGTGAAGAAGGACGTGCACGCTTGTCATGCCTTTATACCACTTTCAGTCTTTGACAGAGCGATTTCGAGCCTGTGGAGATTCTACCGCTGAACAAGTTCAACTATGTACACATGGAAGAAGTACATTAACTTCGCTGCGGACACCGTAAAGCACATCCCATTCCAAAACGTGTCAGAGAGTTTATATGCGCTGCAAACCTAAGGAAAAAGGCAGGGCAGCATCAAAGCCACTTCAGAAAAATCGTTAAAGCAATAACAACAGTAATCAAAAGCCCCGGGAAGGCAGTACGAACCGACCTCGCGTCCCGTTAAGAGGCCGGCCAGCTGACCCCTCC